TTCTCGATTCCTGTCGCATTGTCGATGAAAGCGATCCGGCCAACACATTCCCCATCTCGTTAAGTGTCACGAAATTTGCATATTCGCAGTTTCTTACCGGCCCCCTCCCCCCTTCCGACAGTTACCCCCTTTCGGCGAGTGTCTCGTGATGTAACAATTCGTCACGCTTCCAGGAACGTTGGATAATAAATTGCGTGAACAGTCGCGTCGATCGAGTGTTCCAATTTTTGCGATACCATCGTTCAATCTCGAACTTTTATCGACACTGTACCGTGTTAAGTTGTTAAGAAGTACTTTTATTGGAGAACTTGTGACGCGATCTTCGTTATAAACGCTTTTAATATTTTTTTGATTCCATGAAATTTGTAAAATTCAACAAGACGAAGGGAAGACTACAAAATTAACTTTTCTCCGGTATGTATTATTCGAATCTCGAAATTTTTAGCACTTTAGTTTCATTAATTGATACTCTAGCACGAATTCTCGCCATGCAAACAGTTCCTCGCGCCGAGAAATTTCTACGAAAAGCAAGGAAAAACGTACACGCTTGACAGGTTGACCGTTCCACCTACCGTTTTAATCGAGCCGCTATTTCTTGCACCTTTTCGAAGTAACGCGATTTAAAAAACCGAAAGCACGGCGTAACCAGCTTGGATCGTTAACACTCACACATATTTGAGAAATTAACGAAGAGTATACCAGTATGACGTGCGAAAAAATTGGAAAGTGCCCTTGGGCATTACCTTCGTTCATTTTCTTTCTTTACCAACATAAAGTACGACAAAGTGGGTCGATGAAAAATAATACGTTACGCGCTGCGCTGTAATAACCTTCTACAGGAAGGTCTAAATGAAATCGATTTAATCCGTATCCCCGTGCACGTAAATGTGCAAATTGCAAATAAGTTTCGTACGCGTGAGTGTATGCACACGCGTAACACCAAAATGTAAGAAGCAATATCGTAATACGTTATGCAATCGCGTCCATTACGATGCCGTAACGTCGGGAACTCTGCCTGAATTGCACACGTACAATATTGTACGATCCTAGCCTGTACGATTAATAAGCGGCTGATTGGAAATGCTATCGTAATTATATATCTTACGTATGCAATGATATCCCGCTCGTCTAACGAATCCCAGGAGTTCCATGGGAGAGACAATTGAACCGGAGAACTATTTTCCCTCCACCTAAAAGTATAATCGAGCAAAAACTGGTGGAAACGGAATGTTAATTCGTTTCAAGGAACTTTCTCCGTCGTACAAGGTCCGCGTGCACGTGAGGGGGAATCCCTTTTACGAGGTTACTGCCACATCCTTCAGTGTGCAGCGAACAGCAGAGTGCGTTTCAGAATTTTCCGCGGTGACCATTTACGTGCATCGACGTTCGTCCGCGTTTGGTATCGCGCGTGGATTCCTTTTTCTGTTACGGCCACCGTTCGAATTTGCATTAAAGGAGTGACGTGAGACGCGGTGTGTGCCGCTCTTCTAATGCACTCCATTTCGCGTGCTCGCGCAATGCACACGAATGTAAACGCGCGCGAGTAAGCGTACAGAGAGAAGCGCATCGGCGCGTATGCGAACTCGGAGTGGCCAGGATCGATGCGAGCCACGTGGGCGACTTGTTAAGTGCACCGTCGAATCACACCCAACTGCAGCCTCGTATTCCACGCGTTGCACCCATACAAGAGTATGCACTTTGATTTAATGCTCCGCGGAGCGAGATAACACCCGACCAAGTCAAGGGACCGATTTTTTTTTCGGGATAATACAAATGTTCGTACGCGCGCATAATGGCGAGCAAGGTCGCGCGGAGTGTGCGTTTGAGTAATCGAGCATTGTGCTTGCATTGCATTACGAAGATGAACTGGAATGGAACAGGCATAGATACGCTTGTTTGGATAAAGTCGCAATCCTGATTAAACGCTCTGCACCGCAAGATCGCAGATATCGTTATTGAGAGATGTTTATTAAACATTAGCAGAATGTCGTTGTGCAATTAAATTTTAATAGTTGAATTGTGCACATTGTGGGAAAAAAGAATAAAGTTTAATAAGAGTAAAGTTTGAGTAACTAACTTTTGCGAAAAATTAAACTTTTGATATATATTTGACTGTACAAACTTTTTATCTTTATATTATCTAACATTAGCAGAATGTCGTTGTACAATTAAATTTTAATAGTTGAATTGTGCACATTGTGGGAAAAAAGAATAAAGTTTCAAAAGAGTAAAGTTTGAGTAACTAACTTTTACGAAAAATTAAACTTTTGATATATATCTATTCGATTGTACAAACTTTTTATCTTTATATTTAATTTGATAACGAAACGAACAGATGAAGGAAGAACAATTTGAAGATCTCTTGCAAAGAAATTTAGGTTAAGGTAAAGTAGAAATTACATTGCAAGCAAATGCATTGAATCTAGAATAAAATAAATCACGAACGTTAACATCTTGTCATTTATTCCGTGAGAGGGAAAATAACATTATTAACGTTTTCCTCTGTTCCAGTTGGAAACTGGACTTTAGTTCCGGTGTAGACGCTTGTACGTCTTCGATCGTAACACTTCGCGAATATTAACGACCTGCCACGAAAAATCACCGCCTACATGATTTACGAAATGATAAATTAATTACACAAAATCTGAAAGACTTGCGGATCCGGTTATACCTTGCTATACAAATCTCTGTTTCTACGGAATGATTAATGATTAACGCCTGATGCTTTCAGTCAGGAAAATCTTGGTGAATAATCGTTGTATAATTGCACAAGTGATCGAAACAAGTGTACAACAACTGAACTTTTTATAATTCACAGTTTGTCATTCTTTTACAAAAGTAAGAAAGCTATGAAAAATTTTCCTCCAAATATTCTATGTATCTATTTAACTTGTTCTTTTAATTTAATTTTATTATTTAGATATCTATCGTAGTATTGATAAATTATTCGACTGTCACATTGCCGAATTTGCATCGAGACAACTCATTGAGCGTGGAACGCTCTCGAGAGACAAGTGGAACAATCAAACTTTGACAGAATCATCTAAATTCCTAGCCTATTTACTACAGGTTTCATCGTCTCAAATCTCCGTGTACATTATCAATACGACGATCTCGCCAGTAAATCAACTGCAATTGCGATGACTATGAATAATAAAGCGTTATAAATAATATCTCAAATCCTCACAGACGTTAACATCAATTCCTGACATAAACTTTTGCCCAGTTCCTTATCGCGTAGCGTTAACCAGTTAGTAGCCAAACGTGTGGTAACGCCAAAATGGGAACGGCAGAAAGTGGTTAATAATATCGGGACGATAATTATAGGGTGGGCCACGCATGAACATGACTTTTCGGCCATCTATCCAAAACTCGCAGAATCCTCGAACGAGTTCCACCTGCGCGGATATATGTGGTCCGGGGATTACTCACACGGCCTCCGAGGGTGCGTCGAAATAGAACGCTTAGTCAGACGTCACCAGGAACTGCATCGGGGGAGTCACCGGCTCGCCACGCACGCGCGTCTTACTTTGTTACGCTTTATGTACTTGTCCAACGCTTTATAGAGGCTTAAAACGATCGCGGAATTGAAACGTGTCCATGCGAGATGCAGCCGTGCACACGGACACGCGGTTATAACAGGCTATGGTCGGACAGGGTTACATTAAATTAAAACGTGATCCTATCGCGACCGATAGAAAGCCTGCCACTGCTCGCGAGACCTAACCCAAACCTACAGTTATCTCAATGTATAAGCTTGTACCGGGAGACTCATGGAAAGCCAGAGAAATTGGACAATGTTTTCTTTCTTGTTATATGCAAGGATATTGAGAGTACTGCCGTTTGCAAGAATGGAATGTCGAAAGACATTATAGCCTCTGGTCACATTTTTGTTAAATAGAGATCAACAAAGAATTCAAGTATTGCGTTAATATTAAAAATACATACGACTCACCATTAGATGCGATGATGTTTTATCAATGTATTTGTAGCCCAAGGGAGGTTACTGTGAATTTCGCCAGTCCATGTAGAAACTCAAAGCTAAAACGAAACGTACAATATTATAATTTTTGAAGATAGTGTCAATTCTTTTGGAAGTTTGAAATAATGAAAGAATCTCTTTTCTAAATATGAAATTTTAATACAGACAACATTCAATTCAATTCAAGAATGGAAAATTAAAACTTGTCAAATTTTCAAACAGATCCTATTTTCTAATTAATAATAATGAACACAAAATGCAAAGAATAAGATAGAGGTTACTTACATTCTTAGCTTTTGAAGCAGTATTAAATCCTTTCCAGAGAACAGGAAGAAATGGAAGGAGTGAAGAATCTTGAATAAAATATGAATTATTATTAGTTTATTCCGACAATTTTTACGCAACTAATTAATTAATTAATAAACGTGACGCGTGATGATACATCTAGACGCCATGATTTTCTATTCAAAACTATCTCCTGCGCAACAGGTTCGCGTCGCTAATGAATTGGTAGGGTGGGGGGAACTGTGCACGAATAGGATTCGACTGATTTATGGAAAAGCAGAATATTTAACGAGAATATTTAATTACACACATTTATATATAAATGTCTATATGTAGTATCTCACTGTTTATGCAAATTTATATTTTCTATGAAGTCTTTTATAAGAATATTACGCTTGTTTATTTCTAATGAACATTGATGGTTAGATTAAATATGTATACCTAACTCTTATTAATAACGCATACGTTGTTTTAAATCGTGTTATATTTATTACTATAAGAGCCATTGTAGTTTTTACCTGACAATTTCTGGGTAATGTGTCTTTTTGTTGGGTTTCCAGTCAAAAAGTACGTTTCTACGTTACATGGTCATGACGCAATACTGTGAACTGTTCGCGAGAAATATCGATTGCGATGTTCGAGAATCGCAGTTCATATAATTGCCTATTTCACCGTTCCGGTGGCGCTGTAATCTTTACCAACTAGAATTACTGCGCGCGCATCCTGTACGAAGTTATACACGGAAGACACGAAGATCCAAACAATAATGTCGAATCTATTTTGTCTTCAGAAAATAGTGTAGACTAGTAATGAGGTAAATCCACGACTCGAGTTGAAGCACGTGGCTCGGTTGATACTGTATTGGTGGAGGCTAGTTTAAGATTACTGATCTTAAAAGGAGAGCGCACCTGGATCGACTGATACTTATTTGCATCTCCATACTTCGACCCAGGTGGTTGATCTACGTTGCACCGCTTAGATTACTTGCTTTAAGGTATACACAGATAGCATCTTAACAAAGTTGTTTCCAATCACGCAAACATTCTTTCTTAGATCTTAATTGTTTCTTATAAAACAAATAAATCATCTGAATCTCGTGATACGCAAATATTGCAAATAAAAAGTCTGAACAAATATTTGAACATACGATTTTTATAACGATGATATATTTTGAGTCTCTGCTCTTGAGAAAAAATATAAACTTATAGAAAATATATTATTTACAAAATAAATATTGATTCATACGATATGATTGTTTTATTAAATTCTAGCTTAAAAAACTTGATTTTTGACTTTCGAGTATATTAAAGAACAACACGATCATATGAATAATTATATATATGTTTTTATTATAGTATTTATTTTTTAAAAATTTATATTTTTCATATTTGAATCACTTAATTATTTTTAGAAACCTCTATGTTTCAGAGCAGAGTGGCGCAGTGGAAGCGTGCTGGGCCCATAACCCAGAGGTCCGTGGATCGAAACCACGCTCTGCTAAAAGAAAGTGGTAATATTTTTTTCCTTCTTGACATTTACACACGCATGATATTTTTGATAAAACTAACATAAATATGTAAATTTATGTTACGATAATATCGTTAACATTAACAAAAGTCGTTTTTATTATAAAGCAAACGAAATTCAGCTTATAACGGAAACAGCACCTTACCATTTTGTACCTGGATTTTAATTCAATTGCGAGGGCGTTTAAATTGCAGATTGGGTAATTTGCAATGCAAAAAGGGAGAAAAGTGTGTCCTAAAGTCCCGTAAGCTCAAGACATAACTGGTGAGCAATGATATGCACAATGGATGGATGACATTCCTCTGTTATTGTCCGTAAAGAAAAGATAAGACAACGAGTTCAGGAGTTCACCAGAGTTCACGGACATAAATTTGGTGAGTGTCATATTCGCTTCGTGGAGTATCTCTTCAGAGTTTAAAAACTTTGACCGAGATATCTCCAGAAAGAAAAACATCCATATTATCGAACAGTATTCACGATACTGCTTTTGCAAAGAAATATTTATTAATCGTGAAATATATTACACTCAATCTTGTTCAATACGTTCATTGTTTTTTCTTATAGTAAAAAATACATTTTAACACAACATTTAATTATTTTAATTCATTACTTCGCAATCTATTATTATACTATTATTCCACTTTGTTGAAAGCAACATACATTCTCAAAATTGTTTGATATTTCATAACGTGCATAGTTCCTGTAATTTGTTCGAAATTAGTATACATCAATATATGTACATATGGAATAGAAATACCGCGAGAAAGATACAAAAATAGGATATAACAAAGCAATGGATTGAAATTACAAAGGAATAGAAAGTACATAGTGATCATTGCTGCACGGCGCCTACTCGCAAGTATTGATGGTATTTGCTCGCGGTCCTTATAAATGGAATATCAATGAGATCGGGCGCGTAACCCCGGGTCGGCATTATTTAACGTGAACACGTCGCACACGTGACAAAGTGGCTTGACCGCTTGTCAAACAGACACAACCATGAGCTGTCATGGTTCCAAAAGACCAGATCGGTCGCGTCGCGTGGCGTGTCGTTACCGTTAAGCACAAGCATCAAATTTGCACGTGCTCGTTCCTTTGTACACACCCACGTGCATCATAAATCACGGACAGAGCATTAAGGGCTTTGTAATTTGGTAGACCTTTGATTATATCTTATAATATTTCAGACGGAACTTCTATTTTAAGGAATTCGCAACAATCAGATTTCAAATTTTAGTTCGAAATAACGCGAGACGTGTTACGTAAATGAAAATGAAAAATTATTACAATGCAGGAAATTGTTTGTACAGAAGGAATTGATTTCATTGCATGTTTTCAATGCTGGTATTAAATTTCTGGTTACATCGATTTTCAAAATAAATTGCGAATTTTTGAATTTTTTTTAGATTCATTCAGAGCTACCAATGACATGACTTTGAAGCTGCTTCCATGCTAAAATAGAAAAAGTTTTGGCAGTTTCTTCGTGCAACGGTGTGGGTGAGTGACATTAAAAGTTGATTTCATTGCATGTTTAAATGCTACTATTAAATTTCTGGTTACATCGATTTTCAATTAAATTATAGAAATATTGACAAATGTCTTCAAAACATTTTTAATAATAAATTCAAATAATCGAAAATATATTATAATATTGAAACAAATTAAATTCAGATTAAGTTTGAATATATCAGAGGGTTCATTGAACTGTTTCTGAGACCGAAAAATCTTTTTTCTCTGGTATTCAGATAAACAATTAACTCAAGTATTTCGCGAAGGCACTATATTTGACCTAGATACAGAGATAATAAATCTTACCACGTGATCTAGCCTTTTTACGAGAATGACAAATGCTGTCTAGGATGCTCTGCGTATTTTATCTTTGCATGTTTGTTTTGGGTTGACGACGACGATGCTTCTCATCTTGAGCATTTATACATTTATTTATATATTCACTGCCTTCCCTTTCCATCAAATTTCTTTATTTTTGTGTGAGAACATGATTATATTGCAAATTTTCACTTTGATTAATATTCATAAAATTTTCTTTTCTTTCCTCTGTTGAGAAACTTAAATTATTACATGTAATACGCTCATTAAAAAAAAATAATAATAATAATAAATTCACAAAATTAGAAAGATAGATTCAAAATAAATATCTTGAAGATTGAGAAAGGCATTTTTAATTATTAAAATGCATATTTAACAAATATACGATATATACAAATATATTTAAAAATATACAAAATTAATTATCTCTAATCGATTTTCTTTCATTTTTGATTGTTTTAATTTTCTGAAATATTCAAATAGACTGTGCAACTTTGAGTTTGATTAATGAGCGTAAAATTTAGCTATCACTAAGAGATGATGTTTGCTTTGACAACGTTAGAGATTGGATCTTCTGTTGTGTTTGCCAATTTGCAAAGCACCATGACGAGAGCCGTTTGTGGTTCATCAAAAGTATGTATCGAGAGATATCTTCATTTAACACTTACACATGCCGTTAATGAAGCGTATATGCTAGATTCTTTAAGTAATATTTGTATTATTTATTTAGATTTTCTAGATATTATATTTTATTATAGATCTTTCATCTAGATACACTTTCTGGGAATTTTTAAATATTTTTTTAATTAAATTATAATATCCAATACTTAGAACTGTTATTTTACATAATTTACGTTATTTATTACGTAACAGTTTTACATTTACACAAATTTTAAATTAACAAATTGCGATGACATAAAATTTAATATTCAACTCGTAACAATAGACACGTATTCACACAAAAATTTCATACAATATCACTTTTTTGGTTTATAGATATTCCATTTTGCCAATATGTCGTCAAGTTCGGTACATTTTTCTCGTTCTGGCACGTTGTTACGTAGTGGGCGATCACTTGGATGAATTTTATGAACCAATGCATAGTTAGTTAATTTGTAACTTTCCTTGGTAGAAAATACGATTTAATCAGAAAAAAATAAAGAAGTTGCCATATGTTGCTTTATTAATAGAAATTACAATGTTAAAAATTATTTTTTGCAAAATTAAATTTATAATACGAAATGTAAGTAAATTGTAAAACGAAGGCTGTAAACTGATATTTTAGATACCTGCTTTTGAGTTTGTTCCACTGTTTCTTTAGCCAATTTTTCACAAGAAATCGAATCTTTAGGCAAATTTATCGATGTATGTTTAAATTTATTTACAGTACACATTTCTTGAAAGTTATTCTTACAATTAAAAGATTGTGATTGATATTTTATATCCTTTAAGAACAATTGCACGACATGTGATGTACCTAAAATAATGGAAATGTCAGATTTTAATTACCTGTAAAAGAAATTTAACAATTTAACAAAATTGGCACATTTCTAACGAATTATGTCTGATGTTACTCGTATGACCATAGTTCCACTAAAATTTAAACAATGAAAGTATTAAAATAATCCTTCTTCATCGTAAAATTTTCACTCATTGAAGAGGTTTGAAATCTACATTTTTTGTTTTTTGTATGAGGTATTTTGTTTCTGATAGAACTGTATCTCAGTGCTCAATGTTTTATATATAGATTATTTTAAACAAACGTCACACAAAGAATAATTATTAAAATATTTACACAAACTATCTTAATCGTTAGATAACAAATCTAATGACAATTTTAAATAAAGTTAATCAAATATCAACAGACATCTAAAAAACTGATTTCTTGTTTAGACTGTATATGTCATATGTCTCAAGAGTCAATCACAAAGATATTAAACAGAAATAATTATTTGTCAGTCCGACGATAGTATTCTTTTACTTTGAAATATTACATACTCCGTTATATATAAATCACAGGGGAAAGTAGAAAGAATTTCGATACTTGCGATACAAACAGAGGTAGTTCCAGCGTTTCCGTGAAAAGGCAAAGTTCCTTTTGCTCCCGTAGCCTCGTACGATCGTGTTACCTTCTCCACGACTGCATGACGTTAACATTTATTTATCTGGTCGAGTTGACGCCAAGTTAACTAATATCAGATACAAGATATCAGACGAATAAACAGAGATCTGTGGTCGATGGTAACCGAAGACGTTGTATAGCACCACAACCCTCAGCTTCCTGTTCCAAGGTTGCTCGTCTAGCACCCGGCATTGTTCGTAATTATCTATTTTCCGTCGTCTATCGATCGGAATCCATTTCATACGCGGAAGAACGGTACAACCCGTTATAGATACGCGTGCTTGATTTATTCGTATTTTTCCGCAGATATACTTTTCACTAGAATTTCGAGAACTTTGCGCTCGCTGATACCTGTTCGCCTCGTCGATATTAACCCATTCACCGGCCAAAGACACGACTTACTTTTGCGTCGATTTTGTAACTCAATATTCCACGTATGATATTTCCATTCGCATAATTTACAATCTCGATTCTTGTTATTTGTTGAATAACGTAGTGAGAAGCCTGAATGCTCTGATATAGATACAATATCTGTTTTACAGGGACATTTATTAATATTTAACAATTCAACGCTTTTCACTACTTCAATTTTGTAATTTATTAAACTGAATCGATAGAATTCTTTAAACACCATACGTTAGATTATAAATTGCTACAAAAAATTTATTAGGATAGTAATTGTAGGATAAAACGAATTATAGATGTTGATACAAAAGATATCTTTCCTAAGTATGCGTTTTACGGTGTTGGGCAAACAGTTATTTATTATAATTTGCATAAATGAACGAATTTGTGGAATAATTAAATAGATCCAATACAGTAGGTGAACCCTATAAAAGATAACAAAGCAGCTATTCGAATTTTTATTTACACGGATCACACTATTTGCAGTTTCCACTATTAAAATACATTACGATCGAGAAGTTATTGCGTGCCTTGCGCTCGGATGTAAAGCAGAGAAAGCAGAAGAAACACAAATCAAAGTGTAAATCTGCCTCGTACATTATATGGTCTCAACGCGTCTCTTCACGATATTAGAAAATAGAACCTACGTCGCGATATAACTACTATATATTTGTGTCTGCAAAAATGTTCGCTAAAGTTAACATTTCCCTCGTACATCTCGTCTCACTTTACACTTTATTCAAAATACAAAAAAGAAAAAAAACACGAAAAGAAAAATGTAAGGTGAATCACCTACGGCTAGAACTTAAAATATCTTCGTTGTTTGCGGGAGTATAAAAAAGGACGTGACTCACTCTGCACAAGTAATATGAGGTGGAAATTGGAAAACTTAGTAGCTAGAAAACGAATATTTATTACGATTTTCTTTAAAACGATAGAATTGATGCTCGTATAAAATAATCAACGCAGCAATTAAAAAAAAAAATGCGATACTTTTCAGCGAGATTATGATAGACTTAATACATAGTATTGCTATTATTTACCTTGGCTTTTACAAATTTGTTTCTCAATAGCGTTTCAAAGAGAGACACATGAAGTGAGATTGAACCAATAAAAGAGATCACTGAAAGAAACATACATCAGAAAGATATAGTCTTCTCCATTAAAAGATTTATCTGCGAACTTTTTGATCGGCCCGGATGGACATTTCTACGCTTTCTGAATTGTAATATCGTTCGCTGGACACGCACACGAGCTTGATATAAATCACGAACGTATCGTTAGAGGCTGCCGCGTAATCAGTGCTATTATTTAATGAGCCAGTAAGACTGGCACGCTTTAGCGCCGGTTTCACGTAATTGCGAGAGCAAAGCAGATAGCTACGCGGAACGTTAGTGGCAGCTGGTCTCTCCTAAGCGTGTACGGGTGTCGACGACGAGAACGACGACGACGACAACGACGATCTCGCAGCGGATAACGACAAACGCGAATATAGGTATAAAGCGTGGAAAGCGAGGCTGGCGAATTAGCCGATAGAACGGCCAAGAGTGCGTAATGATCGCCGGCACATAAATTTAGCGAGGAGACGAGGCGAGAGACGAAAATCCCAGGCGAATAATCCAAACGTGATGAATGCCAACCGACTTTACTTTGGAACGGGTCCACGCGCGCTCGGCTCCGCTCGGTCCGATTCGGCCACGCCGCGATATGCACCGTCGAACTTGGCGACGAAACGTTCTAACACGTTTCGACGTTTGACATATGCACCCACGTGCACCTGCTGACGTTTCCTCAACTCTCTGTCGTGCCGATTATTTTCACAGCGAACGCGAAAACGAGTCTATTACGCTGATCTTGCGTCAGCCGCGGCCCTTCGCTTCTTCCATCGCGTGTTGCCAATCGTTACTTGGTGAGGTGGAAAGAACGAACGTGGATAGACGGAGAAATGTCGAAACTGAGTGAAACAATGATTATCTTTTTTTTTTTGAGAAAATTGATAATCCTTTCATCAACGCGCTGCGCTGGAATGAATATAAAATAACCGTTGCGATAATCGCAAGAAAATCGATTATATTATTTATGACGCGGAGAGTATTTTTCTTAAATTTTTTATAAAAGATCTTGCAAATGTGTAAATTTTATTACCATATCGACCTAATTTCAACTGAAAGAATGAGAGGCCACTCGGGTTAAAAAAATACTTGTCTTTTCGAGTAGGAGTTTTCTGTACAAAAAGTTCTATCACTTTTCTCTGACATTTCATTTGGCACGATGACCAGAGATAATAAAACATAGAAAGATCGATGCGTGTCATATACAAAACATGAAATGCATAGGACTTGCCAAAGTTTCAAATGTTTGCTGCAAACTGTACTCTCTTGGAGGAAACGCAGCGATGTCTGATAAGTAGAAGACTACTCTGGGATTGGATTTACTCTGGGATTCTAGTCTTCTGGGGAGGTCGAAGAACCGCAGTTGGCATCGAACGAAAGTTTCGTTCGCTGGATATCTCCCTGATCAATGCTCGTATTCATTCTTTCAGCCGTGTCGGCGAATCTGAACTTTGCCAAATGGAGATTTCTTTTCACAATAGAGTAATTTATCGTGATGGGTGCAGCGAACGTACAAGTCACTTTTGCCCCGTTACTGCAAGTTCGTTCGCTTACTGAATCATCTAATGACATGCTCCGAGATTCGTGGAAAAAGTCGTTGAATTTCAATCTTTACGCGTTCGTTGTTCCTCCTGATTTGCTTATTCTATTAGAAACATGGTTGGATGTATATTCACGTTTTCATCGAACATAGTTCGTCTATATAATTCATTTAAAACGTAAATGAATTTCATAGTAGAGTACACAGCGATATGAGTTTGTTGTTCGCCTGGTCTGTTTTCTAGACGAACAATTGATTTGCAGTGAAGGTAAAAATTAATAAGGTTTTCCAAAACGATGAAAGTCGTAAGTGGCTTGGCATCTAAAGGAAATATCTATCAGCTTGTCTCAATCTTTTATTCTCGAATAATTCCTCCCAGTATCTCAATGAATTATCTTGGACACGAAACTAATCAGTGTTCAGCACTTATTCTCATAGCTCGGCGTGAAGTATTTGCTTCGAGTTAACTCGTTTTTCGACGCGAAATAGAAAAACTGAAGCAAATCCAAACTGAAGCTGGTATCCACAGTACCTACAATTGTGCCATAATTGCATCGTCGACGTTATGGCGAACGATATTAGATAGGCGAGCCAGGAGCAGGCACGCGTGTTACTCTGAAACAGATAACTGTGTATGATGTTGATTTGCAAACACGTGTATCACTGTGCAAGAAGCTACTCCATCACGACTGTACCTGGTAAACTTTAAGTTAACTGCATTAATATCACCGAGCGTTAAGAGATAGGGTGGTATTTAATGAGTACAGAATTATTACAGGAAATTAGATTTATATGGAATAAATGTCATCCGTCTAAATTACGGCTATTAGTTTTGGATAACGGTGATCTCTCGCGTGTGTCTCTTCTATCTGCCTGTTAGTTACGTTAGCTACGTTCCTACTCGATATAACTCAATTACCGCGGTGGAATACATGTTCTAATTAGGTTACAAATTATATAGAATATAATAGCTAGGATTACAATTTAATGGCGCGGTTAGATATAATCGTCCTATCGTCTCTACTTTATTCTATCAAACCAGTAGATTACAGAGATTGCTGTCGATAAAATTACATTTCCTCAGCCTTTATTTGTAATCGTTCGGCTTACCGCTAGATTGTCGATACGTGTAATAAATATTCAGAAACACACTTTGCACACGCGACTATAAATCGTAAAATATAATTTCAAGTTCTACGTGTTTGGAAGCTTTGGACGATATTTACAACTTAACAGTTAAGATTTAACGATACACTTACAACGTATATACACGCAAGATATCGAAATTGCCAAGCAATTTCATTTTGAGTTCTCAGTTTGAAT